TCTATTATTTCTACATGTATAATTTTGAATTTCTTAACTATAGATATATCTTATTTTTTTTGACAAAGTCTTTATTTATAAAAATAGGCTGAGGATCTTAAATCCAATAAGGCTAAGACTTTGTAATTTTTTGGTTTTAAACAAACTTCTATTGTGAAATAAGGTGAGGGATTTGAAGAAAAAATAGGATCTTTATTAAGAGTTGTATAAGATTCTATCTACATAGTTCATATTGTAGTTGGAGAGACTTGTTTTTTGACATATCATCCCCTTTGGCATGCTCTTTATTTTGTGATTGAATTGCTTCTTTGGACAATATTGAGTAGTGTGATTGGATTTTCCACAATATAGGCATAAAACTTTTTGATGACAATGGCTCTTTTCTTGCTTACTAAGAAGTATAAAATTTACTATATCAATTTGTATTGGTTTCAACCTTGATGAATAAGTTTTTGAAAACTTAAGAGTTACCATCATTACTTGATTTATTTCTCTTTACTCAAATCTTTATTATTAATGCCTTTCAAATAATTTATTGTTACATATAATGATTTAAGCAATAAATTCTTCTAAAGATTTTATTTTTGGTATTGTCAATAACAAATCTTTGACATTATTCTTCAATCCATATCAAAATTATTTAATAAAGGCTTTTTCATTCTAGTCCACGTTGTAAGTAAGGTTATGGAATTTAGTAGCATATATGGTACTTGAGCATGATCTTTGTCATAAAGATAAAATCTTGGTCTCTACTATTTTTTTTTGATTATTTTTTTTTAATGTGCTTATAAATACTTATAAGAATGAATTCAAAGCATAAAAGAGTCGTGAATCTTTTTCTATTTAATGTATAAAATAAGAGAAATCACTTTTAGATAGAAGTGTACTTATGAACACAACTTGAATAAATCCATCAAGATATTGGAAGGCATGCAATCAAAGATAGAACTTGACTTATTATAGAAATCCTTAAAATTTTGATCTTGTTCCATCAAACTTCTTAGGCATACTTATTCTTATCCCCATTGTACTTGTAGAAGCAAAACTTCTTGGATTTGATTGTGAGATCAATCTACTTGCTTCTTTTAATTGCACAACTTCTTGGCATAGACTTTGAAGTCTTTCATAGGCACAAGGTTAGTATTTTCTTAATTGGCACTAGTAATGTATGAAATTTCTATCCTAAGAATGTTGACAAATTTGTAAAGATCTATAATAGTTGTAAATCTATTTTTACTTTTACCAAGTATAACATCCATAATTATTTCTTCTATTTCAAATAACTTGACTAATGTACAAGTCAAATTAGAAGAGGGTAATTTGCAACCAATAATGTTGAATGAAAATTTCTACAAAGAAATGTAATCTACTCTCTTTAAAGAAAAAATCAATGTTAGAAAACTAAATAATTTATTCAAAGTTGGATAATCCGTAACCTTCAAAACTCGATAATAAAAGTGGAATAATTCACTCACTTTTAAAACAAGATAAGAACAATGAATTAATATTCTTATTAAACTATTAAAGATATGAACCTTAAAAAACTAAAATGTTAATACACTCTTGTGTCACTCAAAAAGACTAAAAAACCACTCAAAGATGGTAATATATTAAACTAGAATGGTTATTGCCAAAGTTAAGAAGATTAGAAAGTCTTGAAACAAGACTAAGGACTAGAAAGGCATTGACAAAGATGAAGAAGGCTTCACTCTTGCCTCAATATATACTCTTAACTAGGAACTACATGGCAATATCCTATAGGACCTCCAAAATAAGTTAACTTTCCAAGATACGTATCTTAACTTGCAAGGTAAGTTTTTTATATGTTTGCCACATAATTAGCTTATTCCACAAGCTACCATCATGTGATTAACTTTTTGACCAAGTTCTAACATACTAATCAACTACAAACACATATAAAATCAAAGCAATGTCTATAAAGCTTCTAAGAAGCTTGTCTAGAAAATATTATGAAATAAATTTATTTTTATCTACTTTTATTTAATCACATAGGTACATATTAGAGTAAATATGTATTTCCATGATATAAGATTTAATTATGATTTATTAACAGGTTTTTTTATAATTATTAAAGATTTATTAGAATTATTTTAGATTTTTTTATGAATTCTTCATAATTTTTTGAAGATTTATTAGAATTTTTTGAAACTTTATTTTTATTTATTAGGATTTTTTAAAGATTTAAATAAAATTTTTAAAGATTATTTAAGGTTCATTTTTAATTGATTAAAATGTATAATAAGATATATCTAGGATTTTTTAAGATTAATAGAATATACTTAAGATGATTAAAAACTTACTTAAGTTATTCAAGATTGCCAACAAGATGTTTCTAAACACCTTATATATTGTTTTGATTGTGATGCAATTTGAAGTTAAGATTAAACTCTTCTATAGTCAAATATTCAATATATTCTCATACTGATTTTTACATAATATAGAAAGTATAAGTAGGGATGGAAAATTTAACTTTGTTTCTTGAATTGTCTCAAATTTAGTCTAATCCATTAAGGATACTAATTTCATAGGTTTAACCTATTTAATACCTATGTCGGCCTAGATTGCATAATTTGTTGTGTATTAGAATTTAATCAAATAAATTATAATTTGTGAAGCCAACTACTATGTTGTCAATTATACGTGGATATATATGAGTTATCCATGCCTTATAAGCCTGCTTATTATTATGTCTTAGTGATACTCAAGGCCTACTACATATCCTTGATTTTTCCTCTTAATTGAGTATTGGCCTTTTAGAACTAAATTCAACAATAAGGTTTGTGATGTATTTGCCTTGATAAAATCAAAAAAAACTTAATCATATTTCTAGAGCTAAATTACGTTGACTTTGTGTCAATATTAAGAACTTAAAGAATTTAATTAAACATGTAAGATGTATCTCAAAGAAAGATGACATAAAGAAAGCAAAAAAATATATATAATTAAGAAAAAATTGAAATTGCTATTCCTAAAGATAAGAAATGTACATACTCTTGAAATTAGACTAAAAGCAAGAAAGAGTTGACAAGAAGTAAAAAGGTATCACTTTTGTTTCTATATATACTATCTAATTAAAAAATTACATAGAGACATTCTATAGGTCATTTGACATGTACTTAACTTGCAAGGTAGGTTTTCAATACATGTGCCATATTGCCAACTTGTAAAGCAAATAGTCAACATGTGAGGCTTGTGGTCAATTTGTTGGCAAATTTTTCAACTTATCAATTACCTATAAATACTTAGAAAGTCAAATCTGCATTTATAAAGCTTCTAAGAAGCTTTCCTATAAGCTATTATTAAATTTATCTACTTCTATCTATCTCTTCTTATCTTAATAAATACTAATATTAATATGTGTATTTATAGTACTTTAAAAGTAATGAAATTATATGTAGTATTTTGGATAGTTTGCACAAATAAAATTTATATTTAAGATTAAAAATAGTTATTGTGTTAAGACTTACTACAACTATAATAAATCTTTTATATTAAAAGAATAGCTAACACACACTATTATTTTGGACCTTGGTTGCAATTAGAGATGTAATAAAGGTCATAATACTCATATTTGATTTAGATCTTTTTTATTTTTTTCCATACTATATGTATTATTTGACTTTGATATTGGTTAATTTTTATAGTTAAATTTCTTAGTTCATATAGTTTTAATATAGTCATAATTTATTTTATTTATCTTTGGAATAAAAATCATTGTATTTTTAATGTAATTATTCTTATTATCTATTTAAAGTCCTTATAAGCTCCTTGAAATATAAAAATTATTGATTTGGTCTTGATTATGAGATTGTAACCACACTTTAAAAGAATTGGCTTGATTTGTGCCTTGTATGTTAGGTATTGTCTACAATGAGAATTTGTTATTTTAAAGTAGTATCAACAATGTATTTAGAATTAAATTTTTTTACAGCAATACCATAGATTTTTCATAATTAGCACTGCTAATTTTCTTTACATGATATGATCTATCTACTTAATTAGCTAATTTTAACATCTAAGAGATTGCTCTGGCATTTTGAGATGGCATTATAATATTTTCTAAGATGCAATCTTTGATCTTTTAATGTCCTATTTAGAGAGGCATTTAGAAACTTGTTTGTTATAGAGATTTTTTGAATAGCTAATAGAACTAAATTTGATTATAATTGTATCTAAAGTTGTTCTATTATTAATCCTAATATGATTAGTAATAAGAAGATGGCCAAAAAAATCCTCAATCTATCATGTTATATAGTAGATGTTGATTATAGAAAGGTATTCCCAACATTAACTTAAATAATTGTTACTACTTTAGAAATATATTATTGCAAGCCAATTCCTTCCTAAGCCTCTTTTTTCTTATATCTTAGTGTAAAAAAGCCTTTAGAGTTTTTATCAATATTAGAATTAAATAATACACTAGTTAGAAGAATTGTCAACATATCTTGTTGCTGTGATTTGTGGATTGTTGTCTTGCCAATATTAATAAGGCTTAGCTATTGCCTCCTTGGCGTTAATGAATTTAGCTGCTACAACTTGCCTATTTTTTGATGTTAGAATGCATTGCAGTGATTTTGCTTAAGATTGCACAATGCCGTGGCCAAGTAGAGCCAGCAATAAACTAATAATTTTAGATAATCAATAAAAATGTGTTTTTGTTGTTTTTCATTGAATTATGCACCATCACCTCCATCTCCTAACCAGCACTTGACTATATGGCTATATAAAACTGATGCTCCAAAGTTTTCTCAAACCAAGAACCTTTTATAAGTCAAGAGCAACCGTTTGAAACTCATCTGAGAGGCCTTTGAGCGCGATCTACGTTGGAAGTTCTATTAAATTCAAATGTAGATTTCTATCACGGTGCCAAATAATTCTAGAATCAAAATTTGGGTCCCAAGCTTGAAGGTGAAGAAACAGATAGAGGATTTGTAAGGAGACAAAACCAAAACTTTGCTCATAGATATAGGTAGTTGTATTCCCTGGGCAGTTCATATCGTGTTTAGATAACGTTTCGAATGCCGCCTCTTCGCATGTCGTGTCTTCTCCAACTTGGAGTTTCTAAAGTTCGTGGTTTGGGCGAACACCCTTCGCCTCAGCTAGAGGTCCGAACTGTTTAGTTGGGTGTTTTCCTCGCTATGGCTTATTGTCTTCAACCATGGCACTTGGTTTGCATGGCGAGTTATACCACTAGCCCTCACATATCTCGTTGATTCCTGATTATTTTTAATTTAGCACTATCATGACGTCTTGATCATGTTCGAAAAGTGTAGACAGTGTTTGCCATTCTCATTGTAAAATCGTACATGATGACTGGAACAATGACCAGGATGCAAATTGATTTTAGTTCATTTTCTTTTGTGTGGTCAAATCTAGTCACAGCAGGTACTGTTATATTTTTTTTCTTCTCATCCTTTGAAACTGGTTCGTAAACAAACAGCATCTTGGTACTGAAAGTAGAAATCATTTACAAATCGACTCCTTCAGACCTTGTTAGATCATTAATTTTTTTGTGCTTAGAAAGTTCTTTATGTTTAAACTGAGAATGTCACTGACTCAACCTCGGGATCCAACCGAAGCTCTGCTTTGTTTTACCAGTCACAACTGAGTGAACGATTAAGGAGATGGTCAGAATGTGCGTGAAGAAGGGATTTGGCTAATGGGCCAACTAATTTCAAGTGAGCCAAGGGTAGGCGAACCGATAGAAGAGAAAGAAGACGCAAACGAAGACGAAGACGAGGCGGAAATTGAACCGGAGGAGATTGAACCGGAGACAGTGTCGATCTGGGATATGGGCTCTATCTCTTCTAAAGTTGACATTCCAGAGGATGATAAACCCATTATTTTTGTGATAGGTATTCATGTTCACGAGGTAGCACTTACTGGAGATGGCTTGTTGTATTCTGTTAACTTCATACATTTCCCCTGAATCATATCGTTTACTGAAACTCTTGGAATGGTATGATATCAGGGTTGTAACAGCGTCACTGCTTTTGTATGGACGTCGCAGGTGGGCCAGGGACAGGTAAGGGAACTCAGTGCAGTCGAATGGCGAAAGAGTTTGGATTCAAGCACATCTCGATAGGGGAGTTACTGAGGGAAGAGATGGAACGCGGTACCCTAGTTGGAAAGGAATGTTCAGAGATCATGAAGGACGGAAAATTAGTACCCCTGAAGCTGACTCTGGAGCTCATAATAAAGGCCATAAAAGCACCAAACAACTCTTCTGGTTATTTACTTGATGGATTCCCGCGTGCAACAAACCAAGCTCGGGCATTCCAAAAACAAGTATAAAGTTTATATACTATGAAACTTCCTAGATTTTTTTTTCCCTTGACCATCTTGTTCAGAATTTACTTCGGTGACCAACCTGAAACCAATCAAAGTGTGGATGCTAATTAGGGATTCAAGCTAGAGTTTTCCATTCACATTTATACTATTGCGCAGTAGAATGGAATAATGAAAAGTCGGTAGTAGAACATGTTGATGTTTCATCCGCATGTCACGTACCTTTTATCACATTGGTACAAAGTTGAAGTTCGCGAAATGGTCACACCGAGAACCAGCAACTTAACGCACCTGAACATGACGGATTAGGTGAGGGCGCCAACCTTAGTTCTGTATCTTCATGCACCCCAACAAGTGCTTCTGCAGCGGCTCATGCAGCGTGGACTAATAGGTGGGAGAACTGATGACAACCCTGCAACTATCAGAAAGCGTTTCATCACTTTCAAGAAGGAATCCCTGCCTGTGGTCGCCTTCTATGAAAAGACCTCTATCTCCGTTGTAAAGAAGGTGGGTCCTGATTGTTCTGATTATTAAACTCATCATTTTATCTTAGGAACTTACACAGGTTCTATCCAAATCAAAAAAGAAAAAAAAAAAAAAAAAAAAAAAAAAAAAGGGGTTGTAGAAACAATGGTTGAAACAGTGGAATCGGCGGGTAATGTCTTTCTTCTATGACAAGAGTCTGAAGCTCAATTTCCTGTGCTGCTAGGTCTGTACAATCACGGCGCCGGATGATGTGTACAGAAGAATTCGAAAAGAAGTCAAAAGTGTGGTATGATACATCAAAAGAGAGATGTCTCACGATTTCGTTCACTATTGCTTCATTGCAACCTTGTGAGGTAGAGCATGAACTGGTTCGTTTTTTGGACTAGAAGTCGCTTAAGTTTCTGTACCTTCAGCTTCTTACAGAAAAAGCGTGATCCACAACTAACACAACCCTAACCTTGGAATAGAATTGCTGCATTCAGATCCCCCTCCCCCCGCCTTCTCTGTCCTCATGCCGATCCCTGGAGATTGTCAACTGAAGCGACTGTGAGGGAGTGAGAGAGACCGAGCGATAGAGGTCATTGAACAATTTGTGGTGGCTGCAGTTAACTCTCTCGAAGCCGCCAAGGAAGCACATCAGACGGCGAGTCGCTGTGGCTCAGAAGGAGGCGGTAATGTCTTGTTTGAGGCGCATGAAACATCGAAGGAGCAAGAAACCTCGAAATGGAAACGGGAGTCAGAATCTTGTACCTCTGCCTCCTCCGCTTCCACCGCCTCCACCGCCTACACGTGCATCACCCCCTCAAGGATGCCATATCATGTAATTTGTAAGTTCGTTGAGACCCTACACCTGATTGCAATGGAGCAATAGTAACACCCTAAAACATGGATTGTATGACGTGTTTCGTTTTGCAATATAGTTGAGACTTCACCAGTGAAAGCAGAAACAGGTCAGTTGTAACTTTGATGAGCTTCTGTAGTTGTCAAAATTAAGGTCTTTCTGGGTGAAATTCAGGAGTAAAGCATTCTGATTCAGTCGCTAGCGAAGTTGCCTTTTCAAGATTTTGAGCCTTGTGGTAATACCATCCAATTATGGACCAAATTTCTTTCTTCTTTGTGCATAGCCAACATGGCAAACTTCGGTTCATACGTATCCACCTTTGAAGGCACTTGCAGAGTGTTTAGATTGAGAAGAATCACGGTGACGGTAAATACTGTTCCGTGTGCAATGCACATAAATCAGATTGCGCCTCGCCCTATTCTGCAATATTAGGAGTTTGAGCAATGCCAGTCTCCTTGAGTGCACCATGTCTAGTTCAGTCGGACTACACACCACAAGACGAACTGCAATCACAATCACTGCGTATCATTATTCAAACAAGTATGTAACACATTAGTGACGTTGATGGGAAAGGGTAAGACCAAGAAAGCAAGTGCCTTAAAAAGAAAGCAGCGCAGCCGTGGTGTCATCACAAAGAGATAGGAAAGTTCATTCCATTCAGAGCTAGGATGAAAATTGCGTAGAGTGAAATAAGAAAAAACAAAACAAAACAAATACCATGAAACCTTCAAAACAGTTCACGCAAATTCACACGGTTCACGATTCACCACTTGTGATGACGCCCGCATTTGGAAGGTATCTTAACATACACCTAAAACAATTAAGTTTTGTCGACAAGATAATATTCACATTGTCACGGCCACTGGTTAGATGGCCCTGAGATCAGTCTACGGCGCTAGTTCGAAGATAAAGAGAATGTAAGAAAAAAATGTAGTCCATCCTCACAGCGCTCTGTACTGTTGCTTCAACTGGTGGCAAAAAATTGGAACTAGCAACTCCGTCTCTGTAGGTAGTAAAAAAATGTCATCCCACTTGGCTACTACTACCGGACCTCTGGTCACTTTGGGCTTTCAATCCACGGCTCCTGACCACCCATCTCGATTTTCGTTGTGGCCACCTACGTGCCCCCAGATTTGCGGTCACACTCTGTGACAAAAGATAGAGACTGTACATCAGGTTGGTGGGGCTCCTGCTGTATGGACTCTGGCTGTGCAGGCGTTTGCTGCGAAGGCTGAGGTGGAGATGAGAGAGGAGGTGGCACCATGAACGGAGGAAATGCGAAGGGAGGAGGGAAGAATGGCGGAGGGGAAGAGGACCCCAGTTGTGGATTAGGAGGAAACATTGGGAAGGGAAAAGGGAAAGAGCTTGGAGGGGGAAACCCATTTCCTGGACGCCAGCCCGGAGGGGGTGGCATAGGAGGAAATCCCATGGGTGGGTAATGCCGAAAAGCGCCGTAAGGAGAAGGGGCAAGAAGAGTTGGATTCGACTTCTCAGCATTCTTGGGCTTCCGTCCTCGTTTTGGAGCTTTCATAAGGTGGAAGGGCAGTGGTGGGATGCGCCTATACGGACGGTCAGTGGATGGTTTGGGCCTCGCAGTGACGGAAACTGGCACAGGTGCAGGATCTTTGCGAACGAGAAGTGGAGGGGGCTTCTTCACTAGCGGAGCTGCTTGAGGCAGAGTTGTTGATGTAGGAGCTTGAGATTGTGCTGTTGTTCCCTGCGAAAAAACTGCACGATAAATAAACCACTCCCTTCGAAAAGAACCATACAAAAATGAAATTCGTAGCATATCCGAATTCTATTATTCTCATGACAGATGAAGTGGATAGAATTAGAATATGGAAAATTAAGAGATGACATCAGGAAAAGATAGGATCGTGAGCAATGAAAGAATAGACTGATAAGTATTTCACCTGGGGCGAGGACGAAAGCTGCGACGCTGGAGAAAAAAATGTTGGAAACGGATGAAACAATTGTTCTACTTTAGCAGACTCATCAGACCTGAAAGAACCAGAAAACGAGTATACATTGGAGTGCGACGAATGTTTTAATTTCAGATCTATTCTATCCAACCGAACCAAGTGGTCTTGAACAGGTGATTAAGCACTAAGATGCGGTTTCAAAGTCATTGTTGCAAATGGAAATTAAGAATAAGGGGCAAGGCCGGCTGCAAATTGAATAATTGAGTTGATTGGAAATAATACCGGTAGTATTTTCGCAACAAATCGAGATTACGATACTTAGTTTCCTTCCGCACTTGGTCATCAGAGAACCCAGCCATAAAGAGAAGGGTGATCCCAAGTGCTTTGAAGAAAAAACTTCCTGTACGAACATGAACCAGCAACGCCATTTGGCACATGAGTGGTCCAAACGACTTCAGCTTGTTACGCCCCATCCTCTGCCGCACGTACCTAGTCACCCAATCCCCCACTACCCTATAATATGTGTTTACTCCTGTATGCTTCAAAGACGGAGGTAAAATATAAACATTCAACCATGTTCCAAAACTGATAACGAACGAACAATCCAGCGAAACTTTTCGTAGTGTTGGTACACAATTCAGTGTGCCAACACTACAATATGTACAGTCCTGTTTATTTGCAAACCTTGCTCATTCAAATTGTACCTCTAATATAGAAGACGAATGAATAGCAAAGTGAAGCATCTATTCACTTTGTTCATGAAGAATCTGAATTATTAACATGGTGCTCCAACTTGCATAATCGAAAGGGACTGAGTCAATGATTGTAAAAGAAGGTGAAATACTTACTGATTTTGAGGCAGGTTTCGTGTGCGCCCTCCATATTTCATACAAAGAAAAAGGTAGGAAGGCGTGACAGCATAAGTAGGTCGCATTTCCTTTTCTTCATCAATTATGCGTATGGGGCACAACACAGGGTTTTGACGATTTGGAAAAAATATTTTTGTCCGGCCACTCGGGTGAGAGTATAAGAGGTGTTCCTGCATTCATAGTGATGCAAAAAGTTCGTATTACGATTTTTTCTCAATCACTAAGATCCTCATTTAAAAGCCAATTGTTTAATAGTATTTTCATGAATTCCCAATAGAATATGACGACCATATGCTGGTGTAGATTTCGAACACCATACCCCAGGGTCCTTTGTTGACTTATAGGGCTCTCCTCGGTTAAAGACCTGAAAATGGTTGAAATCAAGTTCGTAGAAATCCTCACATCCATGCCGGATACAAAGGCAAGAGAATACAATGATCTTGCGCATCGTATGCGACTGTGCGTTTTTCAGCAACAAAACTCCAGAATCCAATATTCTCTTCACCTCCATTGGGCTGAAGGCAATCTTAGGAGCCTTCTTGTATGAAGAATAGATACCTGCCTCTCGGTATCTGACCGGATAAGGTCCATAGCCGTACCTTTTGCTCCAGTAAATCCTTTTTCCTTGAAGTGTCTTCTGGCCTTCACCCTTTTTCTGGTCTTTAAGACCTGTTTCCTCACCACCACTGTCATCTGAATCTAGTACACGAGTGGATAACCCTATATCTTGCTCATCTGGTTTGACCTGTAAAACCACAATGTACGAGCCCAAGAAGGTAACCTCCATGAGTGGGACAATACCACAACGTACGAAGCTAGAAGGTGAAACCAAGTTAAACTGAACACTGAACATTGTAGGATATAAGATCAAAACAGCCTGATCGATATCCAACTCATATGTCACCTTCTCTCTTGCTTGCCGACGCCCATTGTCCCCAAGCTCGTTGTTATCGTCGTCGTCGTCGTCGTCTTCGTCATCATCATCTTCATCATCTTCATCATCCTCACTACCCGCATCATTCAACTTTTCTATATCGGCGCTGCTCACATCTTCCCTGCACATCCAGTTCACCATCGACTCGTATGACGTAAGGACAGGTCTGCCAGTACCATTAAAAATTTCCAACCTTGGGGAGATTGCATCTGATATCTGTGAAGATATATGATTTGGGCTTGACATAGCACTGGCATCCTGTTTGTCCTCTTCTTCTGTGCTCTTTATTGATCCTACTCTGAGCCTTTTGAGAGCCTGATGAGCGTCATCCTAGTACACATCCACACCAACAATGAGTCTAAGTTCGACAAAGAAATGGTACATTCTCCAATTTCTACAGGCAAATCCTTACAAAATACCAGGTTAGACTAGTTCCAAGGCGAGAAAACCAAAAAATGATACTCAGAGAGGTACAGCAACCATCAACAGGAATGTTACGGCCTTCCAAACCCAAAACCCATGAACAAGCAGCAAAAACAGCCTCGCTCAAAACCGCCAATTCCTGATGATACACTATGACTAGGAAAAGCATATGAAGCATAAGTCTAATGTCAAAGCACTTTGCAAACCTCCACATCTGTGCGCTCCAGAAGCGGTCCAGTATTGCTGTCTTCACAACCTAGCTTTGCTTCCAAAGATGAAACTCGGCCCAGAAGCTCTACGTTTTTGCGTCGCTCTTTCTCAAGCTCCGCTATCACCTCTGCCACGTTTAGATTCTCTTTCATATCGTCCGGTTGCATCGCGAGTACGTCTTCTTCGAGAATACCCTCGATGAAGTCGGTATTTAATGCACCCATGTCCAGATGACTTTCATCGAGACTATGTACGGTTGGGTCATCCACAGGAGTGGCTTGATGCATCTTGACATCTGCAGGGCCTTTCAAGGCTCCAACTTCGCAGTCTGACCTGCCTCTACTGATGATAAATTTACCGATGCAAATTCTGTATATGGAACCCAGAAAGCTCTGAAACTCCTGGGAAGCTTAGCACTACCACTCTGCTTTGCAAAGACAAGTGTACAATATCAGCAGCCAGATATACCTAAAATACGCAATTAGAGTAATCATTTGCACCCGCGACACGTGTGAGTCAATGTGCCCTCGCTACCATGGCTGAAAAGGAGTGCCACACCAGACCATCGCCGCTTTCTGATGAGCGGACAGGGCAAGGCTTAACAGGACATTGGCGGAGTACAGAAGAGTTTGAAAGCGCAATGCAGGAAAAAAATAAGTAAAGAAAGAATCAACAATCAAAAGCTCTACAGTCATAACTTACTAAAAGCGGCAAGACAGCAAGAATACCCACCTACAGAGAAAGCAGTAAAGGAAGAAAAGTACAGGAGCCCGAGTCCTGAAAGATGTTGCTCCTTCATCAGATCAGCATCGTATATGCTACATGCTTCACTGAGAAAAGAATAAAGACCCAACTGGTCAAGTGCCCCTAACAATTGGTTGATTCCACTGTGCCCTAAGATTTCAGGAGGCCCCTCTAGGCCAAATTGGTATCAACCAAAAGAATGGAAGGTCTACTCTAAACGTACCCGATAAGCAGCATCTGACCTTGCTCCAATGACCTTGCTGAAAAATATTCGCATGCACTTGTAATTTAGACATTCTCCTAGTGTCCGGCTTAAAGTCGATCAACGGCAGGACAAGACACCTGGACACTAAGTCAGGGTTTAGTTATTTTTTTTAAATATATATATACAAATGCAAAGAACCAAAATAAAGGCATGAGGTACGAGATAGTCGACAGAACCGACCAATTACACCAAGATGCTTGGTAGAAAGGAACAGATAGCACAATAAGAAACACTCACCTCTCTCATACAATCTCTGACATCTTCAAAAACAAGCGCTACAAAATCAATGATTTCACGCCAAGTTAACATAGTTGCGAACGCCATTGCCAAGCCTATAAAGTCCACCCCTAATCCCCTATTTTTGAGTAAAGCATGCAAAGATGAAACCCCGGCACCCTAAAAACTTTGCACAGCACCATTACAACGTCCAAACCCTAAAGGCTCCTTGGCTCTCAAGCTCAAGCTCTTTCCGGTTTAATTTCAACTGCTGGAATAGCTGTACCGGTGCATCCGAAAAGTAGCACCTCGGAAAAGCGAATTGAAAATAGATACAGCCCTTGCGAACGTATGCATGGCATAGCAATGGCTTCGTGAAATTTTCCAACGCGATTATTTCCGAGAACCACAAATCGTGGACATTCATCTGCCCTCAGCGGGTAACAAATATGCCAACAATGCAACTAAGGAAGATCAAAAAGCCGTTTAAGCCCAACCTGTTCCTAATATTTGAGAATAACCTATGATAGAGCAAAATGCACTGGAATGCCAAAACAAAGTGAATGCAATAGACCGTGCTACTCCGCAGATCACAGCAACTCTCTTAGAGCCTGGAATTTTAGCTAGGTAGCTGTAAATCAAATTGAACACAAAGCAGGTACCAATTCAAACCCGGATACCAACCGCGCTACTCACTGCAATGCCGCTAGCACACACTTTACTACATTCCCGTGGCTCCACGCAGGAAGAATTCAGGCACCAGACGACAACCAATTTTCAGGCTCTCCAAAATCCGCTACAGCAAGCTCTTAACAATCTCTTCAAGAACCACACCTTTTTTTCCCACCACTCACTACACAAAATACTCACCATTGCCACCTTCAAGTCTTCCAAGAGGCGACATTCTCATCCTTGCATCCCTACCACCGTTCCGCCATCGCAAACCCATGCTCCCCAACCATGGACTCATCACTTCAAGAAAAACCTATCAGAAATTCTCCCAATCTTAAACCTCCCTTTCACTAATTCCCTGCTGCATCCCTCTTGCCCTCCTGCCCTCCTGCCTCCACCTCCAATCGCCGTCCATCTCCGCCAAAGCAAAAATCCTCCCTCACCGAAACCGTTCTTCTCCTGTTATTTTTCTTCCAGGAAAAATCAAATTATTGAATCGTAACGAGAGCGATTGAGGTTAGGGTTTGCGTCGTAGTGGAAACGCATGCACTTGACACCAGGAATGCGTCGGAATGCGGATTCGGCCGAGCGGACTTGCAGCGACAGTTAAAATGATGTGAAGAGTGAATGCAGGAATGTTGGTCACACCAATTGTCGATGATCCGGGTGGAAGGGCGGGCGAACCAGCGACGCCAGCGAGCGAGCAATGACGGAGATCGTTTGGTCGATCACTTTGCGCTCCACGACCACTGCACGATATCGAGGGCGGACGAGAGGCGCTGACGGACGAAAGCAAGAACGGACAGACGAAAACCAAAACGAATCATTCGTTCGTTGATGAATGTGGATCACTGCCTTGCATCCCCAAACTCGATGCATTGTAATGGATGTGTTTGACAGTTACAAGGGCTTCCACATAACTTTTAAAACAAACCCAAACCAAATGTATTCTAAAATATTATCAAATTTTGAAAGAATTTTTCTAAATTTATCGATTGTGATATTATTATCTTAAGAACTTGGCATGCTATTCTTGTAACTTTTTTCTTATATCTTTTTTGTCAATGTAACCAAAATAATAAATATGTAAACAAATATATACATACACAAAGATTAAATATTATGTATGTTTTTTTGTTAAAGAGTTAAAGCATAAAACTAAAAATCATAATTTAATTTATTTTTACACATGATAATTTAAAATTTTAAATAAAAAACTTACTTCGAAATAGTTATTAAATCTATTTTTAAAAAATTAAAATAATATTAAAATAATAATAATTAATTTTAAATATGGATTTTAATGTAAATTTTGAATATTGATTCACAAGTTTGTATTTGAATTTTTTATTTTAAATTTTTTATTACATATTAATAAATAAAATTTATATTCTATAATAAAATAATTACATTTCAATTGCATGTATACCATATTAAATAAAGTAAGTATATATTTTCTAATTTTTTATCATTATTATTAAAATTATCAAATAAATTTTTTAATATGTTGTCCAAATTATTTTGGCTTAATATTGCTATTGAATATAATTGTCTAGGAATTATTGTGAAGATTATAAAATTATAATTTAATAATCAATAAAAATTATATTAATTTAAATAAATAATTTAAGAATAAAATTAGTAATAAATGTAGAATTAAGATTTGCAAAAGAAATATTTTTAATGCTACTAGAAATTATTCATATACAAATTCTATAATCAATTAATATTGTTAAAATAATTTTTAGTTGTGTAATTAGATTATATCTTAAATTAATTCTAAAAATATAATAAAATAAATATAAAATATATCTATCATTATATATATATATATATATATATATATATATATATATATATATATATATATATATATCTTTAAATAGACTTTAAATCATTTTTTGGATTATAATTGTCACATATATCTATAATCAATTATATAAGAAGTATTAGGTAGAAGGAAAATAAAGGTAGATTTGATAATTTCTTATAGACTAGCTTTTTAGAAGCTTCATATACATGGATTTGACAATTAATATATTTATAGTTAATTGGTAGATTAGAAACTTATCAACAAATTGGCCATATAGCATACATGTAGGAAACTTGTCTTGCAAGTTAAACACATGTTTTACAAATTGGACAAGTGGCGAAGGTCCTAAAGAATGTTACTACATAACTATTAATTAGATAGTATCATAGAGGAAAGAATGAATCTTTTTTTTGCTCTTATCAATGTTTTTTTGTCTTTTATCTTGTTTCAGGAGTTTATAATTTTTTATCTTTGGAAATAGCTATTTTAGTTCAATATTATACCATCTTTTAATAATTATCTATTCTATTCTAGTGATACAAGAGTATATTGATCTTTTGGTTTTTTAAAATTTGTGTCATTGATAGTTTTATAAGAATGTTATTTTACTACTCTTATTTTATTTTAGAATTGTGAGTTATAGAGATTGCAAGAAAAATTATTGATACTACATTTAATAGAAGTGAAAATAGATTTGCAACTATTGCAAATCTTTATAAGATTGTCAATACTTTCAAGATAGAAATCTCATGAATTTTAACATCAACTATGGAAATGTTATTCTTACTCCTATAAAAGAAGTCAAAAATAAAGTTTAATATCTATATGAAGAAATTATATAATAAAAAGAAGAAAATAGATTAAGCTCATAATTAAATCCAAGAAGTCTTGCCACTGCAAGTATGAAGGAATCAATGATCAATATGCTGAAGAAGTTTTATTGATGGAAAAAGATCAAAATTTAGAAGACTTTTACAACAAATAAAATTTTATCTAAAAGTATATATTTTTTAATATTCTTATGGATTTAATCAAGTTGGATTTATAGGTGCATTTTTATTTAAAAGTGATCTCTTTTGGTTTGCACCTTTGATGAAAAATGATTCATAACTCTTGTATGATCTCAATTCATTCTTAGAAGTTTTTAGGGCTATATTTGAAAAAAGTGATCAAAAGAGAAAGTAAAGACCAAACTCTTATCTTTACAACTAGGATCACGTTTAGCTACCACATATGCTATTGAATTCCAAAACCTTGTTTGTAACATAGATTAGAATGATAAAGCCCTTATCAACCAATTTCAATATGAGTTAAAAGATAATGTCAAAGATTTTTTTATTGATAATGCTAAGAGTCGATTCATTAAAAAAAATTTATTGTTTAAGCCATTGTATGCAACAATTGATATTTTAAAAGATGCTATTAAAAAAATTTATTAAAGAAGAAAAAATCAAATTATGATAATAATTCTAAATTTTTTTAAAACTTATTTATTAAGATCAAGATCTATGCAAATTAATATAATATCTTTTAACTATCTTACTAAAAAATAAAAGACTTAACATCATCAAAAATAATTATGCTTATATTATAAAGAATCTAAATATATTGCTCAATATTTTTCAAAGAAATAATGCAATCACAAAATAAAGAGTATGATTGATAAAGAGGATAATTTGTCACAAAAGAAGTTTCTTTAGCTATAATAGAGATTATGTAATTGAAATCTTATGCAAAATCTACTAAACATCTTATTATCTCTTCAAATTTCTCACTTTTCTTTATAATAGATACTTATCTAGAATCCAAAAATTACAAAGTCTTTAATTTATTACATTTAGAAGCCTTAATTTTTTTATAGCTAAAGATTTTATCAAAGATTACAATGGTAATATTATTTTAAAGCATTGTCCCTATTTTTTTTTATTGATCTTCATGTATGAGTTCAACCACCATTTGGACCAATCTATAGCTTATTATAAAATAAGTTAGCTCCACTCAAGGAATACATTGATAAGAATATAATTAAGAATTTTATACAACATTCAAAAGCTCCAAAAATAATTATTACCTTATTTATAATGATAATGAAAATGTATATTAATTATTAAGACTCAATAAGATCACCATTACAAATATGTACTATCTACTTTAGACATTAATACTTTTCAATCAATTAAATCAAGCAAAGATCTATACCAAAATAGATCAATAAGGATTATATAATCTAATACACATCAAAGAAGGAGATGAGTGGAAGATTGAATTTTGAACTAGGTATGGATATTTTGAATATAATGTCATGCCTTTTGACTCACAAATATATTAGTTTTTTTTTAACATCTTATAAATAATCTTTTTTGAGAGTTTTTAGATGATTTTTCCATCTATTTTCTAAATAACATTTTAATCTACTTTAAGAAGACATAATAAAATAAACTTTATATTTGTTATGTATTAAAAAAATTAAGAAATATAGGATTATATGTTAATATAGAAAAGTGTATATTTTACATAATTCTAGTTGACTTTTTAAGAGACATTATTTTAAATGATAAATTTAAGATATTAAAAAAATTCAAACTATTATAGATTAAAAAATTTCAATAATAATTAAAGATATATATATATTTTTAAATTTACTATTTATTATTATTATTATTTAATTATAGATCTACTTATATATTTGACTTACAAGAAAAACTTGAGTAGAATAAAAAAAACTAAATTAGTATTTGAAGCTTTGTAGATAACTTTTATTTTTGTAACAATCTTGTAATGTATTGTAGAATAAGTAGTTATTTTCAGAATGTAGATATCTAGTGTATAGTGTAAAGAGGGATAGATAACTGCTGAAAAGGTGGTTCAGCAGGTAGAATGGATGAATAGTCAAGAAAAGTAGTTATCATCTGTAGTATAGGAGTTGGTATCTCGGGGTAGTATAAGGAGGATGGGAGAGGGGAAGAAAATGCCAAACTGTGAGAGTCGTAAGCCAAGGGCTAGATTGTGAGAGTTGTGAGCCAAAGGCCAGACTGTGAGAGTTGTGAGTCGAGGTAAGCTTGGTGCTACCTCTTTTCTTTTGTTTGTTATTTTCTTTGAATAAGACGATTGAAAGTTTCTGAATATTGTGAAGTGAATTATGGAATGGAAATGTGATTGGTATTATTGAGAAGAAGAAAGATTGAATGTTGAAATCTGATTGTAGTTCAGTAGAGAGAATGGGTCTGTGTTTCTGTGAAACACTGTAATGTGAATGGCAGTTCTGTATGAAGAATTTTAGTGATTGGAACGAGGGTAATTGTGTGCTGAAAGCTGTGAGGGCGCAGTATTATAGTTGGAGATTATGAGGGTGAATATATTGGTAGAAATAGCAGTTATTGGTATGACTGAATTGCTGTAAGGAAGAGACTAATAAGATGAAGGAGGAGATTATAGTTTCCTTGTGTATTCAGATATTGGAAATAGAGATGATACATTCAGGACGTAATTGATTGTGTGATCCTAACGTGAACACTTAAGCAACTAATCATTCCCCGTGTTTGAATCCCCCTATACAAGTTTATTCTGGGAGGTTTCTTCTGAAATAAGTAAAACGAGCAATGACATTTTGGCACCGCTGCCAGGGATTGACAACATTATTGAGTGTTAGGAATTAACTGTCGAAGCAGTAAAGGAGATTAGGAAGCAAATTCAATAGAAATAATGAAAGAGTATGGTTATTAAGAATGAGAATTTAACAACAAAGAGAATAAAGCAATCAAAGAAAAGAACAGAGCGATCGCAAGTAAGAAATTTGTTGCGTAATGAGTGAGATTGTAAATTAAAAAAGAAGCATCGACAAAGTTGGATTAAGCTATGGTTGCATGCCTGTCGACATATTCGATCGTATCCAGAAGACAATTG